TTCCCTTACTTTAAAGTATTATTACTGTTTATGCTCCTTGCAGCACTGATGAATAAACCACTAACCAAGATCTGGACAGACGCCCTGTGAAACTCTCGTATATAGAACAAAAAGAGGAATATTGTCCCTGAGAATAATGTCTAAAATTAAATCAAGATATAACGCGGGACATAAAGTTGAAAGGTTCATTACAACCTGACTGTCATAATGGATCGATGAGGGTTGGACCTGCGGTCAACGCCAGTCCTCGTTGTCCGTCGCCGAGATGATTTTCTTTTTAACGTAGTCCATTGCTTTATTGGCATCCAGGAACTCTTTGCTTTCCTCCCCATGAGAGATGCGAAGCCGTGCAGGAAAAAGCAGGCCATAGCGAACATCATGTCGGTTGCGAAGAAGCCTCCTCACCTCCGTAAACGCCGCTCGAGCCTTGGCCACAGCTGCTGTGTAGTCAGATGTGATGATGATCTGTGACTCTTTAAAACGAAGAGGACCACGACTCCAAGCCCGACRCAGTATTTCCACACATTCTTGATAATAGTGCAGCTTAGCGACAATAACCCGCGGCTTATCGCCTGACCTGTTTCCACCTGGAGAGCGATGGGCTCGGTCCACCAGTGGCTCTTTATCCATCTGTAGGACCTCTGCTAGCTGTTTAGCCACTGCTGAAGAGGAGCTGGATTCTGGCGTCTCTGGAACTCCAATAATCCGCACATTGCACCTTCTCATGCGCCCTTCCATTTCGTACCACACTTCTTTTTGAGCTCATCGACTTCTTTCAGTTCCAACATGGTGGTGCGCAGAGCAACAGCCTCTTCGGACCAGTTTGACAAGCCGTCCTCCACTTCTTTAACGCACTGTTTCACGTGGTCCAGGTCTGCACGCAGTAGCATCGTGCCATTAGCCACCTCCACTCTCACCGCTTGTAGCTCCCCTTTAATAAGAGTAAACTCTTCAGACAAAGCCGCTTTTATTTCAGATTTGATCACAGCTGAGAGATCGGTTTTTATAGCGGCAAGAATGTCAGACTTCAAGGAGAGTGCATCCACCTCGTTGCAGGAGGGAGAGGAGGACCCCGAAAGTCCAGTTTTAGCTGCAGTCTGCTCCAAGGCGGCGTCAAGCCTAACAGCCGTCGAGCTAGAATGTTTGCTTTTCCTCGAGTTTGTCGCCATTCTTCTACTCTTTCAGGCAATAATCACTCAGGGGTCGAGTCCGGACGGACCAAATGTTCAAAACAGCAAGGATTTTAGTAGAGAACCATAAACAGAACAAGTCGGAGCAGGAGCCCACGCGACACACAACTTACTCCTCCGCCATCTTGCCCCGCCTCCTGAATGACAGCATTCTGAGGGGAAAATCACCACTAAGCTGTCGGACAGCTGTGCTCACTCTTCTCCCAAAAAAAGGTGATCTGTGTGAACTAAAAAACTGGAGACCAGTTAGTCCGTTGTGTGCTGATTATAAAATAGTCTCTAAAGCTTTGGCGAACAGACTGAAGAAAGTGATTGATCAAGTTATATATGTCGACCAATCACATTGTATCCCTGGCAGATTAATAAGGGACTTCATTTCCCTAATTATAGACGTTTTGGACATCTCTAGTTCTTTGGATGTAAAATTTGGTCTGATTTCCCTTGACCAAGAAAAGGCATTTGATCGGGTGGAGCCCCAATACTTATGGAACACTTTTGAAGCCTTTGGCTTCTCCCCTGGTTTCATTGTCATGATTAAAACACTCTATTGTGACATTGAAAGTGTTTTAAAGGTCAATGGTGGTTTAAGTGCTCCGTTTTCTGTAAAAGGGAGTTCGACAAGGCTGTGCAATGTCAGGCATGCTTTATTCAATTAGTATTGAACCATAGTTACTGTATGTCAGATCAGAAAAAAGTTAAATGGAGTAAAATTTAAAAAAAACATTTGTCATCATTACATCTCTCTGCATATGCAGATGATATTGCAGTGGCAATTACAAAAGATTGTGATGTTTCTAAACTGACAAATATTATCGATTGTTTTGTCAAAGTTTCCTCCTCTAAAATAAATTGGGGAAAAAGCAAGGCTTTGTTAGTTGGTGATAGGCAAGGAGTTGAGCCCCAATTACCTAATGATTTAAAATGGATTAAAAATGGTTTTAAGTACTTAGGGGTTCATTTAGGTGATTTGGTGGAGGTTAATAAAAACTGGGAAGGTGTGGTTGAAAGAATAGAGGGAAAACTAAAAAATGGCATTGGATTTTACCAACAATGTCCTACAGAGGGCGTACACTTATCAATAATTTGGTAGCTTCTACACTGTGATATCGTTTAGCTGTTTTAGAACCACCACAAAAGTCACTGATGAAATTACAAAGTATTATTGTTGGGTTTTTTTGGGACAGACTTCACTGGATACCTCAAAGTATGCTTTTTTGCCAAAAGAAGAAGGTGGACATGGTCTAGTGCATCTGGAAAGCAGAAAAGCTGCTTTCAGACTACAATTTTTGCAAAGTTTTTTGTATGGGGATCAAAATGTGTTGTGGAGACAAGTGGCTGAATGTTGTTTTTTTTTCAGAAAGTCTGTAATTTGGGTTTAGGAAAATCATTGTTCATCTTTGATTACTCAAAGATTAGTACAAATGGTCTGTCACATTTTTATATCAATGCTTTAAAAACATGGAAGTTAATAGAAATAGGAAAACTAGGAACTTCTCCTTCTTTATTTTGGTTATTAATGGAGCCTATTGTTAAGGGTTCACGATTTGGCTCTTCATGGGATAATATACCCATGATGTCTGGACTCCTACTGAATAAGAAAGTAACAACTGTTCATATTCTCCTTGAATTGATTGGGGCTAACATGGACAATTCTACAGCACTTGCAAGAAGACTAGAGGTTCGTTCTGTTCGTATAGTGGACTTGATGCTGGGGAAGTTTTAAAAAAGCTTTATCAGAAGAGGAAATGAAGTTGATTTCGGCATGGTTTGATGAACTTTTAATACCTGACAAGACGGACAAATTTTACAACCTGTATATCAGACCCAATTTAAAAGACTGTGAAGTGCTGGGTCCCCTACTGGAGAAAGTCAAACATGGACTTCACTAAATTCTGCAAATGGTAAAACATTATATCAGAGATGTGTTAAGGCCCTCAACTGGGTGAAACTCAAAGGTAAAAAAGATACACTGTGGAGGGATTTTTTTAAAAACCATTCTGATGTTAAACCTGCATGGAATATGATATACAAACCACCTTTGGCCAAGAATATTGGTGATTTGCAGTGGCACATTTTACATGGTATTATTGCAGTGAATGCTTTTGTATCAATCATAAACTCAGCAGTTTCAGATAAATGTCCATTTTGTTCAGTAAGGGAGACCATTTTTCACTGTTTCATTCAATGCCCAAGATTGGTGCCCCTATTTGGTAAACTCGTGATATTTTGAGGTCTGCTGGCGAGTCCTTCTCTAATATTTTTTTTATATTTGGTTTTTTGTTTGGAAAAAAGAAAAAGAAGAAAGGGTGTTTAATAAAATTTTCTTTTTGGACAAGCAAAACTGGCAATTTATTTGAGTAGGAAAGAGAAAACTAGTGGAGGTCAGAATTATGATTGTTTGTCTATTTTTCAGAGTACGTTAAAAGCAAGAATAATAATGGAATTTAAATATTACTCAAAAATGAATAAACTGGAAGTGTTTAAAGAAAAGTGGGATTATAATGGCATTTTAATTCATTTTAATAAGGCAGAAATTCTCTTTGCAGATGTTGTGAATTAGTTGTGTAGTTGTGTTTGTAAATATGGAATAATATTCATAGAATAAACAGTGTTTTTAAAACTCAAAAATATCCTTCCTGTCTGCCTTCTTTCTTTCTTTCTTTCTTTCTTTCTTTCTTTCTTTCTTTCTTTCTTTCTTTCTTGTGTTTTATGTGCAGCAGAACAGGAACCTGCTGTAAAACAGCAATTATGCTCAGTCAGGCTTGATTTCTAGTAATCTTTTCCTGTTAAATCAATAAATCAAATCAATTCAGGATAAGAAAATGAACATGTTCTTGCATGCGGCCCAATGACAGTACTTACACTGGCTCCGCATGGCTGCGCAGGGCAGCGGTGAGTGGACGGCGATCCGTCAAAATTAGATTTGATCCTATTTTTGGCGGATGTTGAAGCTGCTTCAGAATAAATCTACAAAGATCACATCGTTCTACTAGGAAAAGGAACAAACACAACATCCATATTTTCGAAATAAGTCACCAATAGGACTATTTTTTTTTTCAAAATCCCAGCTATATTAGTAAATATATGCATATAGAGGCCGTTTAACAGCCCACATTCAAAGAAAATTCCCAAATATCCAAGTTGAATTTGAAGACAAGAATTCGGGGCAGTTAAAATATCTTGTAAAGATATGTGTCAGTGTTCTTGTGAGAGTTAATTTCTGAGTTTTCTCAATAGACATTGCATTTAAAATCCCTGACAAGTCCATTGTTCCTAAGCAAGAAAAAAATTCAAATATTGTGTGTTATATAATATTTGGGAGCCTGGAAGGCTCAGATGGTAGAGTTGGTCACTAGGTAAAATTTGCCAGATTAAATTCTAGCTGGGGACCTTTTTGTGAATGAATGGATTTCCTCTGGCCATTCCGGTTTCCTCTCACAGATGAAAACCATGATTGTTAGACTAATTGGTAACTATAAATTGTCCCTAGGTATGAATCAGATAACGAATGGTTGTTTGTCTCTATGTGGCCCTTGCACTGTGACTGTTGGATATGGGCACCTGTGACCCCTGAAAGGAAGAAGCGGGTTAAGATGGATGGATGGATAGGCATTAATGCAAATACCCAGGCAGGCGGTCATCTTGAAAGTGTTTAACTCTAAAATTCAGTTAGTTGCAGATGTACAAATTTCAGAATTTTGTTAATATTTATCTAGAAATTCAGTGTTTGACAACAGCAAAAGGTAAAAAGTAGACCACAGAAACAACAACATAACACCTCAATAACAGATTTTTTGAGTAATTTACTGGTGAATTTTAAACTACCATTTATTTCACACTTGTAGTTTATAACAATAAAATTAGCTCACTTTACAGTGTATGTGTCTGTGAGAGAGAGAGCGAGGAAGACAAAGAGAACAAGATTGTTACACCATGATTTGCTTTGTGTTTTCAGTGCTTTAAATATCTCAGAAAAGCAACATGCATTTCAATGGTTGTGTCAGGAGGAATCCACTCCACACAACCTATCATCTGACATAGTGGAAGCTCCAGATCTGACTCATTTTTTGATAGTGTTAAACATCAAAGATGGAGAAAATTGGTAAAATGTAAAATTTCTTCTTCTCTTCTCAATGACAGCAGGACGTTCAGTGCCTGAGAGACAGAAAACAAAAAGAATTTCAAACAAGACTTTTAATAGCTTCAGGTCTAAAACAGACAACTATTTCTTCTTTTCTGTCCTGAGAAACGTTTCCTTTTTGTTGTTAATCTAGACACAACAAACTGGTCCTACTAGTTTCTCAGATTTTTGAAGCTTTTAAAGTTTAAAATGTTAACTCCTAGTTGTGTGAAAGCACATGCTAAAAGGTGCGGTGTAAAAGTTTGTATTTTTACATCATCATTGTATTCAGGCTGATCTAACCGCTTCGGGGTGGCTGTAGCAGAGTGGTCAGGATAGTCGTCCCTCTAGTGCAAGCGTTGGCATTTCCATTCCCTGCTATTTTGTCACATGTCGAAGTAACCCAGGAAAGACACTGAACCCCCACTGCCTCTGATGTGTGTCTTAGTGTATGAATATGATTTAAAGCAGTTTTCCCAACCCTGGTCCTCAAGGCACACTGCCCTACATGTTTTAGAAGTTTCCCTACTTTAACGCACCTGATTCAGATGACTGCAGTTCAACAAAAGACTGTTAATCAGTTATCAATTGAAATCAGCTGTGTTGTGTCTTGTGAGAAGGAGGACACATGAACTGATTTTAAACAAGTTAACTTTATTCCTTTCGCACTGTCATGGTCTGTGTTTATCAGTGTGCATTGCCAATGCAATGCACACTATTGTGATTCGTTTCCCATCCAAGTTATCTCCACTTTGGCATGCTTCTCCTCCTGCATACTTTGTCCTAGAGCTGCCTTTGTAATTTATATCTGTAAAGCTCCTGTGCCAAATGATGGCCATGCCTGTTGGTGCCTGTACAACTTATAATTTTTGAAATATTAATGTTTAATAATTTCTAATGGGAGTCAATAGAGCCTTGTATTGGTCCAATACTGCCCCCTGCTGTATATACTCAGTACTGAACCATAGCTTAATAATATTTGATCTCAATAGTTCAGTGGTTACAATACTAATATGATTGTATTTTGATGTTTTACTATAATGTTGTCTTAATACTGTTCTACTTTTGTAATATTATGCAGTTTAGTGTCAGTAATTGTATTGGCAATGTGTCCTCTTTCTGCACACATACAAACCAACCCCTGGCACCAACCTTGGCCACAGCTCTAATGGTCTAATCCTCAATGCCATGGACTTTCGTGTGGGAGAACAGGGTTCAAAACCAGCTAAAGCAACTTTAACAGAAAATCTCTACAAACTTCATATTGTCACACAATTACCCTTATTACAAACACCTGCTGACTTGACAAGCACAAGCTGGTGTAGAAAACACATTTGTACTTGGTCACAGTTCATTCTGCAAGTCCATTGCTACATGGCAATGCGCACTTGTTTTTACATCGTAAAAGCCCATGTCTAGTTTTACCTTAGTTTTTCTAGTGTTTCTGTTTCTCTGTGTATGCCTGCCTTGGTGTTTTCCTCCCAGGCACAGCTGGGGCCTGATGTACAAAGACTTGCATGGAATTCTTACTGAAACCTGACGTACGGTCAAATCCAGAACACGGCATAGGCACAAAAAAAACCAGGATGTATCAAACCGTGCATACGCCAGAATCCACGCACATTTCTTTTGTACATCTCAATAAACGTGGAACTGAGTGCGCGTGAGACTCCTCCCCTGACACGTCTTCATTATCATATGTTAAACAGATGCAAATTACTTCCTGCATGTGTGAAGGACACTTTTGTTTGATCCCTGCGTGATCAGAAATGATTTCTAGAGTCAGGAAAATAATGATTTTATTATAATGTGAATGAGAAAATATCGTTAAGTACATCAGAAATAAAATATGTTTATCACGCAAAGAACGACTGATTGTGTGTTGTGTGTGTGTGTGTGTGTGCGCGCACGTCAGTGTTGTGTAAAGTACCTCAAAGTGATACTTCAGTAAAAGTACAAGTATCTTATAAAAATACTTTGGTAAAAGTTAAAGTCTTCTCTAAAAATATTACTTGAGTAAAAGTCTTAAAGTATCTGATATTTTTTGTACTTAAGTATCAAAAGTAAATTTCTAACACAAAATCTACTTAAGTATTAAAAGTAAAAGTAYTGAGTAAAAGTGAGCAGTTAGATTTTCCCAAATGACATTTATTGGGAGGTGACTTCTCCAAAAAATATATTTTTGAACGACGTGCAGCTGTGATGGGTTGTGTACAAGCTAATAGTGTGTCAGAATGGTATATATTTATACTTCTCATCCAAACACAATTAAATTCACTTTATCCAGGACATACTATCTATCAGGATAGGATTTTTTAAAGTAATAACAACTCAGAATAAAATAGGAGTAACGACTTTCTACTTCTTAACTTTTTTAAAAATGTAGTGAGTAGAAAGTACAGATAATTGTGTAAAAAATGTAAAAAGTGCGCTGAAAAATAATTACTCAAGTAAAGTACAGATAACCAAAATTTTTACTTAAGTACAGTAACAAAGTATTTGTACTTAGTTACTTTACAACTCTGGTGCACGCGAATGCTGCTGTGTTGCACAACCAGCTCATCATCCATTCTGAGTCTGAAAATATTAACTTTGTGCACGAGTTTATTACCATAATGACTGTAAACACAGAGGAACWTAAATGTTTGGTAGAACATAGATCTTAGTTTATTTCATAGCTGATATGAAGAAACGAGTCTCTGCGTCTCAGTAGAGTTCACATGACGTGACGTGATGTTGGAGAGTCTCCACAAACACTGAAGCACCGCAGCCTTTGTGTGCAGTCTGTCTGTCTGTCCAGCTTTTGCTCTCCTACTTACAGTATTTTCACAAGTTGTAAAGTGAACTTCCACGTGTCATTTTGGAGAAATCTACAACAACGTAAACGCCAAGTATGAAACATCACTGCTGACAAGGGTGCGCGCTCCAGAGCTCGACCAAAACTCAGCCTTTAGACTCAGATGGATGAGACCATTCCATTGGTCATGATTCAGCTCTGGGTGGACTGGACTGACACAGTCCTGATGGGTTTGCCAGCTCCCTCTGGAAAGCTCCTGTGGAACCCCAGTTTGATCTGCACGTGCAGCGCATGGCTCCTCGCTGTGTCGCATTCCAGAGTGCCGCAGTGCCAAACTGAAAGAGGATTATTCCTGAAAATGGTGGATGAGCCACTCATCATCGTAGATCACAAAATTCTGTTTATAAATAAAAGCTCTGCGTGTTTCACTATTTATCATATCCTCCAGTAAGTCTGAATTCGTTCCTGTTAAATGTATTTTTGGCACAACTTTGCTCATCTTTTATTTAACTGTGTCCATGTGGATGTAATAAGTGTTAATCATGTGGATGTAATAAGTGTTAATCATGTGGATGTAATAAGTGTTAATCATGTGGATGTAATAAGTGTTAATCATGTGTGTCTGGTGTGAACAATAATTATTTTCACATCATGAACAGTTTCTCAGAATCACCTCTAAGTGTCTCCAATTGAACCAAAACCACAGAAACATGCGTACGCCAGCCCTGGAGTTTGCGTGGGGCTGTGCGCATTTCCATGTTAATTCAGTTTTGATACATCCAGAGTTTTGCGTGGAAAATGTTTGTGCGTATGCACCATTGATAAATGAGGCCCCTGATCTTCATGTTTCCTCCTCAAGTGTTTCCAATCAGTCCCTTGTTTGCTCAGCTTTATATACTGTGTCTTGTCTTCACTTCTCTGTTGGCTCATTGTACTGCTTCCCCTCAGCCAGTGTGGCGTCCTCCTGTGTTCCTGTTCTTTGTGTTTTTCTGAGAGAGATTTCTTGTGAGTAATTTTGAGCTGCCTCACCAGCCTTTTTCTTTAAATAAAGCCGTTTTGCATTTTGAAGATTTTTGCCTGCGCCCTGGGTGGCTCCTCGCCACAACCTCACAGACGCCAAAACCAGAATGGCAGCACAGAACAACATTCCACAAAAGGGGCTCAATAGCGCCTTCAGCACCAACTCTGCTGGGTGAGAGGCACCACACCAATCAATACCCAGAAGGGAAAATGCCAGAGAAATCTGTCTCTCACAGGCGGCCCATTCAGCCTGCCAAACGAACTGCACTAACCAAGGGGTGGAGAAGCAGATGAAAAAAGCTAAACAATCATTTGAACAGGAGGTAGGAACAACCTTTTCTGTAACAGACTGAGGAACACAGTCAGTGTGAAAAGGTATAATTTGGGGTCCTGTAGGAGAACGGCGGCACCTAGGAACCTCACCTGAAAAAAACAGTTTGTCAGTTTTATTTGAATGTTCTCACCTACTGTGCAGCATTCTCAGTTTGTTCTCCTCCTGCTTCTGATTTTGACAGGTCACTCTGCAAAGAGACAGAGAGGCAAACTGTATAATCATTACATGTTCACATAAATTCATCAATGCATAAAGCTGCACTTATCCCAAAACAAGCATATCTTGTTTTTTTCTGTATAAATAGTTACAAAAATATGCCATGGCTTTTGATAAAAATTTCTTGTAAATGAAAAAAAAAAGCCTTTCAAAAGCCTTTGCTATAATAGGGCAAAAGGTCTTTTAAAAAACAGTTATATACGGTACCGTAAAAAGACTTTTCATCTTACTTGAAAATTTGAAGTTTTCCCTGGTAGAGGGTAAAGTAGAAAATGTATTTTGCATGCTAAAAGAAAAAGTTGTTTTTACACAATCACTAGAAAAATTCACCTGAAAATACCAGAATCCTCTTCAAAATCGTTTGTCGTCTAACACATGGATAAAGTTGTAATGACAATAAAAGTATAAAACAAACAACAGAAATGAAAACAAAAAATGGTTAGTATATATGTCAAGCACTAGTGTGTGTCTCTTACCGCCTTAACAAATCCACTGGCCACTGCTGCATTCTCCACACCTTCCACCGCAACCTGGGCTACTTCGTTGACCCCGGAAACAGCAGTGTCAGCAACCATGTTTGCCTGTTCAGTTGACTTCTGAGCAACTGTATTATAGAGAAACATTTCAAAATTAAAACTGCAAACTGCTTGTAGCTTGTTGTCAGGAGAGAACCAGAAAAAAGGTAATTAACTATTTCTGTCCTACACTACACTTACCATGTCCCAACATGGTACCATGGCACCAGGTCACTTTACTGACCAATATTTATTCACCTTTTTAAATCAGACTCATATTTACCAAAGTCTAAATGATTGTATGAAATGCAGGGAAATCTTATCTCAGACCAAAATACTCAAAGATTAGGAACCAGATTGGTCTTTTATGGCAATTAATTATGAAAAAATAGCAAGAATCAATTTAGATTAGATTAGAGAGACCTTCATTGCCATTGTACAGAGAGCACAATGAAATTACTGTTCAGAACACCCATTCAGAAGAAGACAGAACAAACATAGGAGAACAGGTGCCCTGGGTCATGCAGCCACTGACCCTGCACAGAGCAAGCATCATCTTCATGAAGACATCACGAGGAGGCGCTACCCTTAACAGAAAAACTAAAAACCACACAAGGGAAGCTGAGGAAAAAAATAAAAACATCATATTATATCAACACTGTGACACACTATGGTGTTTATAAAAAAACTCTGCAAAGAGCAGATTTATTAGCCAGAGGAGTAAGTGAGTTTAGGGGGGCGTGTATCTGAAGCCATGAATGTTGTATGCACTTGTGTGAATATCTGAAGAATGAGCCCAAAGAATCAAGTCCCCAAAACCAGCACAGCCATAGTTCAGAATATTGATGTCAACTGTTCATTCTGTGCAGCTTTCAGCCTGCTCCAGGAACCAGATCACAGATGGGTGTGAAAGGAGGGGGAGGAGGGGACAGACCCTCATTTGACGTCAGCATCCAGGAAGAATTTAGTCTACAGCTCAAGGCCATGTAGGGGAGAGCCAGATTCTGTAATCAGTTGTTTTGGGAACAGAAAAAGACAGGCAGACAATAACAATTTTCCATCTGCTTCAATGTCTGCTGGTACATCTCAAGGTGGCGAATCCAATCAGACAAATAATGTGGACAATCCCACCCAGCCGTGCTATCAGCTTCTCCAAGATCAATTCTACTTGGCCAGCAAAGTCCAGGGACCACAGCCGGCCCGCGACCCTCAATAGAACCACTTGCAGACCGAGTCCAGCTCGCTCAAGGCAAATGTTCGAGTACTGATAGTACAGCCATCCATCAAATTGGTCAGTCAGCCAGGAAAAGAAAAGCCACCATTGTTTTTTAGAATACCAGGAGACCACCAAGCCAACCTGTAGAATCCAGTGATCGGAGTCCAGCTATATCCAGAACAGAGAAGAACAGAGGTCCCAGTTTTGACATGTCCTCCCATGGAAGAAGAAAAAACTTTGTTCCAAAAATTTATTAAGAGGCTAGCTAACCAAATCCATAAAAATAAAAATATCCATAATTTCTGGTTTTGGATGAAAATGTAGAGAAGGCTCCAAGCAGCAAAACAGAGAAGATAAGGAAGGGCAGGAGAGAAGGGAAAAGGGTCTTACCCCTCCGAGAGCGGAACAATACATATATATATGTATATATACAGGAGCAAAACAGAGAAGAGAAGGAAGGGCAGGAGAGAAGGGAAAAGTGTCTTACCCCTCCGAGAGCGGAACAATATATATTTATATGTATACATATATATATGTAT